ACGAGGGTATGAAAACCCTAACCAGGAAACTGGGCCACATAGGTCCTGTTAGGCTCCCTGCCTGGGGCTCGTGGGATGATCGTAACCGATGGTTAGAGACACAGCGATATGTCTGGGTGTTGTAAACAGTGGCGCTCGTGCATCTCCTCAATTTCTTGATCTTAGTCCACTGAACTTCTCCATTTTCTTTTCGAATCCACTTTCAACTTTCCTTTCTTCTATTCTTCATCCTAATGGGCAGCCAAAAGACAGCAACCAAAACCGGCGCTCGAATATGCGTGGTTAATGGTTGTTCAAAATGAAACTGAAAACCACGAAGCGGAGCATTCAGTGCTTGTTTTGACCACCTGGGATCAAGCAGATGGGGTTGACGATAGTTCTCAATCTCAGTTTGACTTCTTTGCTCGAAAGCCGGTCTCTCAAAGCGACATGGAGACTGACGGCTGTTCACCTCCAGCCGCTTGATATATTTGCTTTTGAAAGATCGGGTTTCTTAAACCTAGGTTCAGACGAGACAAATTATCGACACTGAGGACGGTGGAATTTCGTTCTCAAGCTGTTCTCCTCCCACCCCCGGTGTCTGTTTTCGTTGTCCAAATGCCTTTCTTGCGCCATCTCGTTGTTTGATTGACCTTTTGAATGTATGGTAAACGCACATTTTTAATGATATACTTTGTAGGACCGGATCATTATAGGCACAAATGCTGGGGCACCGGTTTCGGATAACTAAAAATGCGGTCATACCTTACATGTTTATTTCTAATCAGATGTTCTTTGCGGATCTTCGAGTGCAGTCAAGAATATACTGCATAGCAGTAGGCGATTCCCTCATTCAGCGACTTCGCCCGCGGAACATATCTCCAAAATCTACACGTTTGAAATCAGCTGGACACTGCAGCAATCAGCGGGTGCTCTCACCATTGTTCAATCGATCACTGGAGATCGGTGTTCGCCTCGTCGTACCTTCGAAATGGATGAGAATTCAGACGTTGCTTCACCGTGTCCAGGAATGTGTGCACTGATAGATGATTAGCGTTCCCCAAGCAACCTCAAAATTCTTTCCCGTATTTCATCATCCCAGTACGATCTACAAGTCTCGATTGATTTCAATGAAGGCAGCGCGGAATTCGCCGGAACAACCTCTAGCGGCTTTCGGTGCTTTAAGCAATCTTCTACTATTAGGTGTAGTGTGAAACTCTGATCTATACACGGCCTCTGTCGCGCCCAAAGCCTTACTTGCTGTGCACGAGTAGCGGTGACGCGGTAGTTTACAAAAGACTTCGCCAACTACATGAATCAGACTAATTAATTCCTTTGTAGGTTTTGCTTACCGATTTTTCGCCGTTTTTGGTGTCGGTAGTGCCGTTCGTTGTTGCCTCCGCAGGGTGCAGGGAATCAACAGGCCACGTGCAGGTGGAGAGTGAATAAATTCCTAAAAAGTCCTCAGGTCTGGGTTCGAATCCCAGTGGAATCGTTGACTAATTTCTAATGAGTATGAAACAGGTTTTGCGGTACTCGCCATGCTGTCCAGTGACAAGCGACAAATCAACACTGCCTGATCAATCCATTTTCCATTGAACGAGTTCAGTTTTATTTATCCACCAGTCAGAATTGATACCATTTTAATAATCTGTAATTATCAAATGTTTCAGTGACGAAAAAACCTGTTTGGTGGTTTTTTTACTGAATAGCAGTGAGTAGTTGATCCGAGCGCAGTTTAACGATCCACCTGTTGTTTGAATCTCGGGACAACCGAATGCGATTATTGTTTCTTTTCTCTCGGTTCGATACCGTTTTTGTTTGATGATATCAGGTTATGAATTTTGTAAAAAGTTTAACACTGCGTGATGCTTTCCAATTTCACCGGAAATCGCTTGACCTCTCCCATTATACCATTTATTTGTATCCCGTTTTACTTCTCTTCCGTCGAACGATCTTCTCTTAGTGAAGGAATTTGACGGAATTGCAATCGATTCTATCTATCTCATCGAAAGAGAGTTCCATATTTCATCCGAGTACTGTTTCGTTGTGTTTAGTCGGTAACCCATCCCGTTATCTTTCCATATTTGTTGGATTCACACACAGGCCGTTCCCGCGATACCTGACCTTCAATCGGCGTCGCAACCAGAACCGACAAAAACAGCATTTGCAGTGCCCAGTGCACCACCACCGGCCATCGGACGTGCTCCGGCTTTGAAACGCAGACCGTTGGGTGAGATCCCGGTGATCAGTACAGGTTCCGAGCTGCCCGCCCCTAGCCAGGCGTCTACCGCGCCAACCGGTTCGAGCTGGGGAATGCCGCCATGGAAACANCCGAATTCCGCTACCGGGCAAAGGGAATTGGACCTTGAGGTATGCTTGTTTTTTTATTTCCGACTGCATCTTCCCCGTGTGCTCATCGGGACAAATCACATTCTGCCTGTCCTTTTTATCATGACTCAAATTTCCTCCGTCAATCGTTTGGCACAGATTCGCACCATTGTTGTCAAGTTTGTGTGTGTGTGTGAATTGAAAATAATGTCCGTTAGGTTGAATAGCCTGGTTTTGATCCCCAATCATTGATTCACCCACTGATCATTGCCAGTTCATGATGGAATTCTTTTGTGTTTGTTTCACTGTCAGACCACGCTTAACTGTGCCCAGAAGTTGTGATTTGTTTCCACTCCAGATACTTGTCACGACTCAATGCATACGGAAAACCGGACAGACCGTTGGGAAGGAATATCACACTGGTTAGATAAATATGGCGGTGTTTTCTGTGCCTAGCCTCGTGTGCGTAATCTGCCCCGGGACTGACAATCACCTATCGTTGACAGCTTGTGAAGTACCCAGCATTGCTTTTTTCGCCTATCGAACGTTGTTCTTCATGTTGCTTCGGCCAGTTTTAAGTTGTTGCTATGTGAATACGAAATACCACGGTCATTCGTATTATTCCCAACCGATTGCTGCATCCAGCTGTTTATGTCCAACATAGTAATTCTGTGTGCGTGCTTATGTGTCTTGAGCGGACCACATTTGACAACGTGGTTCATATTCGACAAATGTGAAGTGCAACGATTAGCAAGCCATGCAGATCCCTCTACTTCAGCTTCATCAGCGAGTGCTATTACACGAGTATTGTTAGTTAGCCCCAATTTGTATTCGCAAAACTATATTCCAAAGTTGTCGAAACTCATTCTGCTCCACTCAACTCAGTAGTCACTCTCGGCAAAAACCCAGAATCCTGATTGGGGATTTACTTTCATTTAATTTGTTGACAATCCAACAAAACTTACTCAAACAGTATCAACGATCTGTACCATCTGTCTCGCGCGCGAATTCATACACACCACATAGTTAACTTTATAGATGAAAGAGCATTAAAGATCTGTCGGCTACAAATAGCGAAATTTGCTCAGGGAATAGTTGAGTTTCCCAATATACCTCGTTTCATTATCTATCCAATTATCGTATCCGTAACAGTGAGAAAACTGTTTTAATCGTCTGTCGATCCCATTTTACCAAATCACGTATCTAATTTTGATCTCGAAATCGCGCGTGCCAGAGCTGACATGTGCCCCGCGTCTGGAAACACGTATATCATCCCAAACTATTGTAAGTTGCATTCAACACATCACTCGTGACTCGGAACCCATTGCATGTCGGGCAGCACGAGAAGTGAAACGAACGAGATATATTCTACTCCATCACGCCTATCCGCATTGACACACTTTTGTTCCTCCCTTTCTGACATGCACGTGTTTCTTTCTTTTTTTCACGCGGTATGTTTACGTGATGCATTGAACTGAGACGAAATCGACTTACTCCTCATTTCTGTTCCGTGGCATGTCTGTTCTCGTGCGAGCCTCCATGCTTTCAGTC